TCTCTCTCTCTCTCTCTCTCTCTCTCTCTCTCTCTCTCTCTGCCCACAGCCGGCGCACGCAGTTCTCTGGCAGGCATGAGGGGCATGTCGGGCTCAGGCTCCAACTCCACGACCATGACGTTGCTCTCGGCACAACGAGGCATCCGAGCGCTGGCAAGCGCCAAAAATGTTCCCAGTTCGGTCGCGGAGCAAGCCTCTCGACTGTTCAAGCTGGCCTTGAGCGGTGGCACTGCGCGGGAGAACGGTCCCAAGCTGCCCAACTTTGTGTTGGGAAGGAGATCAGAGTATACGCAAGCTGCTTGCCTCTACCTCTCCTGCCGCCTCGCCAAGACCAACCATCTGCTCATCGATTTTGCCGACGCTCTCCAGGTGAGTTGTGTGCGTGCGCGCATCTCACGCTCGCTCACCCCCCCCTGACACGCATGTCACCTCCGCCCAGGTAAACGTGTTCATCCTGGGACGCGCATACCAGCGTTTGGTGGATTGTCTCAACTTTCGCGACAAGGAGGGCATCAAGGATGCGGTCGACCCTTCGCGCTTCGTAATGCGCTTCGCTTCCATGCTCGACTTTGGCGATTTGACCAACAATGTGGCGACGGATGCCACTCGACTCGTCGCGCGCTTCAAGCACGATTGGTTGGTCGATGGTCGCAGACCAGCGGGTATATGCGGTGCTTGCATTCTCCTAGCTGCCAGAATGAACGGTTTCAGGCGTAGCATCACCGAAGTCGTTCAAGTCGTCAAGATTGCGGACAGCACCATTCGAGAAAGGCTGAAGGAGTTCAAAAACACTCCCATGGCCAATCTTCCCATACACGACTTTCGTACGAGGTGGGACGAAAGCTATAGCTTGCCTCCCAGCTTCAAACCTCCGCGGTCCAAAGGTACCAAACGAGCAATCAAACCAATCGACGGCAGCAAGCTCGCCAAACGCAAAAAAACGTCAAAGGGGGGAAACTCGGGTGCGCAAGAGGCGCCAGAGGCCGCTGCCAAGACCGACAATGAGGATGTAGATGCCGAAGACGAGGCCGCTGGAGCGGATAATGAAGAGGACGAGGATGCGCTGTCGGATGCGAGCGAAGTGCCACCCGATCTTGATAGAATGATCACCAAACTCACCAAGGATGAATTGATGCGCTATATGGATCGTGTCGACTACGCTAGGCTGGACAAGCAGGTCGCCGAGCGCGAGCAACGCAGAGCGGCAAGAGCCAAGGCTGGCGTCCCCGGTAACGACGAGAGCGAGTTGGAGGACATTCGAGCGATGCGCCCATCACCTGCTCGCGAGATGGACTACATTCAAGCTACGACGGATGCCATCAAGACGAGCGGCAGCCAGATGGAGGGCAATGTCGAAAAGGCGAGCCCGAGTCACGCAAACAGCGGAGCTGGGGACGTCACCAGTCCGAGCCAAGTCGGACCTCCAGCCAACCTGCGCGCATCACCTCACCGCGAAGTGTTGGAGCCAGACGAGGTGCCTTTTGCCACCACATGGTCTGGTGCTGGTTACCTACCACCATCTGAGAAGAAGAGCGGCTCGCAAGAGCCGCACGATGACCTCACGGATCTCAACGACGAGGAACTCAATGTGTTCATTCTCACACCAGAGGAATCTCGCGCAAAGGAGCGCGTCTGGCTCGAGTTCAACAAGGATTTTTTACAAAGGAGCTTGGAGAAGCAGCTCAAGCTGGAGCGCGATCTCAAGATGGGCATACAGCCCAAGACTCCTTCGAGGGTGAGTACCGTGCCAGAGAGGATGTTGGGCTCTTCTTTTGACTGACGCAAATGTGTGTGCAGCGCAAGTCGGCAAAGCCGAAGGATTCGAGCACGGCAGCGGCGTCGGCGTTGGAGTCGACGCAGCAAATGATGCACGCAAAGAAGCAATTTAGCCGCAAGTTGAATTATGCCAATCTCAGCTCGCTCTTCGAGACGGGCGATCCCGCTGCGGATGATCTCAACATGCACTCGACTACGCAGCCATGGGCATCGACCTCTCGACGCGGACGCAGACGCGGACGTCGTGCGCGCCAAGAGGGAGAGCAAGAAGGAGCGAGCGGGCCGGCTCAGAACTACTACAATTCGGACGCAGAGACGTCGGCTTCGGAGTTCGAGTACGAGACGATCGAATTGGAGACGAACGAAGCGCCATCCACTGCCAAGGGAAGCAGAAAGGAGTCTCGAGAGATGAAGAGACACAAGGCGAAAAAGGCGATCTCTGCGGCTTCGAGCAACGCGAGCGGCACAGAGGATGGCGATGCCACTCCTGCACGCGCTGGCGCAGCTGGCTCTGGCACGGATCAGGGTGTATCTGCGAATGAAGAGGACTACGATGAAGAGGAAGCCGATGGTGATGCGGATCTGGATGAAGATGCCAAACGCATCAGAGCCATGGCAAGCAGCTATCAAGAATTGGAAGATGATGACGACGACGATGGCGAGGCTTATTGAAGAGGCGCTGCAAGCGCGTCGATCTGGTGTAAATGCGCACTTCAACATTGGAGAGGTCCCCTTTCTCAGCAGTTGAGCAGTCAGCTTGACTTTTTGTTCCAATAAGAAATTCAACACGTGAGAGGAGCACCGTTTCGAGCCCTGCGTCGCGCTTACTGCGCCGCGCCCAAATCATCATCACGTACGTACCGCGCGTCATGCGCGCCACAACCCTCGCCTCACCAAGGTTCCGCGAGACTCGACACACCGTGTAACATGTAATCTGTACCTCGACACGCCTTTCCACTGCCATTCGACCCACGCACTTGTGACAACGACGCATTCATGAGACACCCTGCTGCGCCAATCTTGTGTGACGCTTGCAAGCGTGCACAACCCCGCGTGGGATCGTCGGGAGCTCGTGAAGCTATAGCAGGGCTAGTAGGGCGGAGGGGAAAGCGGGGATTCATTCGCATGGACGCTTGAGGCCGCGTTCGATCATCGATCATCGAGACATTCACGATTCGTCGTTTGGGTGATGAGACTGCAGCGGCGATCGATGCATGGGTGCCCCCGCGCGAGCTGTACGGCGCAGGATACCGAGGGGCCACACGTTCGCTCTTGGGCGCAACGTTTGCCCCGATGCGCCGCTTGCGAGAAAGGGGAGGCATCAGCAGCAGGGAGCGCACGGACAACCGTTGCATGCCGAGAGAGAGCGATCGAGCGCTGTATGAGAATTAAGAATTGGAAAGCCGGGGGCGGGCTTTCACTTTTGGAGATGAGTGAGAATAATCGAGCATGCAGTGGGGTCGATTTGTAATCTTTGGCGAGGCGAGAAAGATGAGAATCTGTATGCAATCTTGAATGCTTCATTACAAATATGGCCAGGATTGGATTACACGCGCGACCGCTTCATTGCTGCATGCTGGCAGCATGTATGAACGAACACCGCAAGACCGAGGAGGTGCCCGTGACTCGTGACTCGTGACTCGTGGCTTTGTGCTGGACTGCACGCATGCATGCACGCGCGCGAAGCTTTCTTCCAAGACATGCTGCAGGTGTCGCGAGATGAAGCGATTTGCTTTGATTTGATGAGCATCACTCCGCATTCAGCCGCCTATTGTAGATTCAGCGCGCATTCACCACTCTCATCCTCCAACCCCCAACGCTCCTGACACTCACTCACTCCTCACTCTGCCACTCTGTCCATCACTTCACCTTGCGGGCACAC